ACAGATATTGTTTTTTTATGTTATCTAACAGTGCACATTTTATTAAAGCAATTCCAAATTATCTGATTTAATTTACTATACAAATGTTTCTTTATTGGACACTAACAAAAAAACATGTTTTAACTTAACACCAAAAGTATATTTCATACTATGCGTAAGCCATGTACAAATACATAGGTTTAAAAAACAGATATATATGTATATAATCCTCTAATGGCTTAGTCTTTGGATATTATTATGTTGTTTGGTACTTTAATAATAATATGTTTTCCTTTGAAATAAGTTTTTATTTTGATACGATGTTTACAATAGTGATTACTATTGTTTTTATATTATGTACATGTTCGTGCAACTGAGTACGGTGTGTTCAGTGTTTACATATTGTTCTCAGGCAGCAAAAAATTTGATACTTTTTCAAAATATTGTTTTTCAATGTATTTCAACTATTTTATTTGCAATATGTGGCAAAAACGTTTTGAAAGTGTTTCTAATATTTAAATAATATTTTAACGATATTTTATAAATAACATGTTTCAAAAAAATTAATTTCGTGTAATAGCACCATATATATTTTATAACATAATATTAAAAAGGTTTTTTTTTTGAAAATATTCAATAATTTTGTTATTTGGGTTGTATACTAAATGGCAATTTTTTAAACAACATTTTTGAACCTTTCCAAAGCAAAAACAGCTGTTCTGGAAATACTTATACAATTTTTGACAGCTTTTCAATTTGTCTGCTGTCTGCGTTTTTAATATAATGATGATTATCATTATAAAGTAATCCGGGATGCAAACACCCCGTGAATAAGGGTACCTACGCTTTGGTGTTTTTTTTTTCTGCTTGTCAGACACTTAGTGGTGTTTTTTTTTTACGGTCGGTCTACGCGAGAATTCAGTGAATAAGAGAATAGAAATGAAAACAGCGAAGAGGGTTTTGCATAAAACTGTGTTGTACGGTCTTAGCGGGGCACCGAGCGGAAGAGCAATAAATTTATTAGCACCTTCCCCTCCCCCGTTAACCGGCTGTTCCGCCAACGAGAATGTAGTTATGTTCCCGTTGGATCCGCTCGACGTCTTTATTTGTTTTAGCCCCGACAAGACGTTACGGTCGTTCTCACCGTGTTTTTCGAATGATTTGTTGCATGCCTGAGAATTGGACTCGAGTCGTTAAACCCCAAAGAAACGGCCAATAACTTCGAACCACTATTATTGCCGTCGATACTCGTGTACAATATAGTCATGGCACGACGTATAGCGCAAAATCACACTTAAACCTATCTTTCACACTTGACTCACATTTTTGATTTTCAATTAACGAGACGTCGAGCATAGAGTTTCACGTCACACAGAAAAACACAGTTTATGGTTAACAATAAAAACCGAGTTGGCTTTGCATACATGCATAGGTACATAGATGGTTATATTATAAGTGATAATAATGAAAAAATATATAAAACATGTAAGGTAACCATTTAATGACTGAACGTCACAAAAGTGCAAAATTTTCAATGATGACAACAAAATAATAGTATTTACATAAAAAAAAAATTATGATTTTTCTGTTGTTATTTATTATAGTCTTAATATTAGCTAATATTAAATCCTTCTGTTAGGTTAACGCTGATTTTACGATTGAATGAACTAAAATGGATTGAATTTGAAATGTTTTATGTAAAACATTAACGTGACGCTCTCAATTAACTATGGCCAAAACAAAACAAATCCTGGAATTATATATTAATACATTTTTTGTAAATATAAATATTTTAAGTTCCACTTCAAAAAAATACGATTTCAAAACTTAAACAAACATTTTTTACCGTATTGATTTGTTTTTTTTATAACAATTCAAAGTCGGATAAATTTTCATGTGTGTTTTTTTAAATTGCTTTAATTTAATATGAATATGATAATTTGATCACACGCATATCGCTTTGTTGTTATCTCCAAACCAACTCCCACGAAAATAATTATGTTTTTATATAATATTACTACACTTAAATTTCAGAATGGATTTTTTTTTAGCTAATGACCGCGTTTATTGATTATATTATAATAACAACCATAATTATATACCACACTAAATCAGCTATTTGCTTTCTAACGATATAAATAACTTCATCGGTTTTCAAACTCTCGGCAATAATTTTTACGTTTATTGGGGGTTTCCCTTTAACAAATTCGATTTCCATTTTCCTATTAGAATGTTATGTTTACTTAGAAAAAATCTACAATATCTTAATGTTATAATTTCGGTTGGAGAAAAACGAATTGATAAAATAATATGGAAAAATAATATTTTTTTTATAACATTTCAGTTATGCTTTTGTTCGACGATTTTTTTTAATATTATGTGTATTTCTGCTTGTTTGCATAACGACCGACGGATGTATGATTTGAGACTATGGGTTCGACACGGTTCGACACCAAAAGCAATATATTTTTCGAATAAACTCGGACGAGCCGGTAGAAAATTAATCGAACAACAGGATATGTTGGTCGTTTGCTCTGCCGACTGGATAGCGTTGTGTAAGGCCACCAAAAGGGTCGTGGACCTTTTTCGGAAATGTTGGATTTTGGAACGGACGAGTAGTGGAAAAAATATTAGAAACGAGTGGAGTCCGATTCGAGCGATGTGCTTCGGACATGAAGTCGATTTAAGACAGTGACCGTGACTGGAATAATATTATCACGACCTCGGTTCTCCTTTCGGCTAGATTGTCTGTATGTGTGTAAATAAAAAAGGAATTTTATTACTACAAACCGGCACGACATAATATAGTCATTAGAACGGGAACGAGAGGAAAATTAATTTTTTTTCATAGTAGGTTATCAGTATAATACAAAGTGATAATAAAAATATAAATTAAAAAAAAAACTGCTTGACGCGAATTTGTGCAATTATAATAAAGTATATATTACATAAAAAATTACTATAACGGCAATATTAATTAATCTTACTATAGTTTTGTTGTTTTTATTCAATAAAATTTGACTGTACAAACTGTACAATACTGTACAAATGCTTCTTTAATGGGCACTAAAAAATAAACATGTTTTTATTAACACCAAAAATATATTTCATACCATGCGTAAGCCATGTACAAATACATTGGTTTTAAAAAACAGATATTTATAAATAATATTCTGATGCCTTAGATTTGATTGTTTTTTATTTTGTTAAATAAAACTCAATTAAAAACATTTCAAAGTTAAGTTACGCCTATATAGAATAATATTGTTCTTATTTCTTTTAATTGTAATTATTTTCCGGGGAAATGAGCGCCTTATCCTTATAATGAATTACCCTGTACAAACACACCTTGGCCTGAAAGTATGTTTTATAACTATTTTGATTTTATTTGAACCGTTTATATTTTTATAAATAAAGCGGTGTCTGAGTCATATTATCGTCTTCTGACAGTGGTATACCCATATTTATTATTACGGACTTACATTTTGACTTTTGACTTTTTTATTTTCTATTGGTATAATGCAAAATAACAAACTTAATTGGAAAATTTTAGTAAAATTACTCTTTTGTAAATGATACCATAAATATTGTAGTTACATCATAACTTATTATCATTGAAATATACACTTGAATATATAGGTTGATAATAATATTTATTTTGACGACTTCATTTTTAACGTTTCTTTAATTTCTAGGTTGTTCTGTGAGTTAGAATCAACAAGTATCCGAAAAATATTTTCAATATGCTGTTGATTGGCCTATTGGTAACAACAATAGTTACTAGAAACGACAGACAATCAACCCTGATTGGTACCATCCTAATATTAAATGATACTGTATTGCTTACACGTTTTTTAAAAGCCATATCAAATTAATTGATTTTAATATACCAGTGCCTATAAAAATGCATAACATTCAAGTCAAATTAAAAAAAAATCAATAGCGACTTTTGTCATTACAATGAATTTTTCGATCTATAAGACTAACTTCTAAATAACCAGGCATTTTTTTATAAACTTCTTTAGAATCATAAAAACAATTTTTATTTTTATTCTAGCTACACACCGCACACGTCTACATAATGATTTTATTATAATTTTACTTTATCTAGGTATAACACATTGACATTTAATAAACATAATAAAAACAAACCTTCACGGACCCAAAATTATTGTACTCACTTGATAACTAAAAATTTGGGTACTTATTTGTGTATTCCGGTATAAGCTAAATCGTCGGGAATTGAAATCTATTAAAAAAATTCAAATTTGGCTTATGGACGAAAATCGTTTGGAGTGAATTTAGATTGAAAATTTCGAGGGTCAGAGACCTCTTAGTCTAGAACCTAAGTTGTTCACATACGTAAGCAGAAAAATATCGTGCGCGTGTATTGTTTAAATAATAATTTGTCATCACATTAACTTAAACAAATATGACGGTTACTTATGAACAAATACATAAGTTTGAAAAAAACAAAAAGCAACAGATATTGTTTTTTTATGTTATCTACCAGTCCACATTTTATAAAAGCAATTTCAAACTATCTGATTTATACTAAGCAAATGTTTCTTTATTGGACACTAACAAATAAACATGTTTAACTTAACACTAAAAACATATTTCATACCATGCATAAGCCATGTACAAATACATAGGTTTAAAAAAACATATGTATATATATAATATTCTTCTTTATTTAAAATGTTATTTAAATATACATACATTACCATTTAAGTTTCAAAAATCAGTAGCGCTTCGGAAAATACTAATTCAAGTCAATACTTAATAGTTTTATAATTATATATGCAATAATATACGCGAAATTGTTTTCAAAAAGAAAAACTATCAAACTGTAATAATTATTTTCCGGGAAAATGAGCGCCTTATCCTTCTAATAAATGATCCTGTACAAACACACCCTGGCCGTCAAACTTAAAAAAAAATATATTTCTATTGGAAGTCGCGTTTTTTTCTTCTTTTCTTATTCTTATTATCTTTATTTTTTTGTTTTTCTCTTACAGAAGGTTATACCAGAGCTTGGAAGAAAGTCGGCGCCGTCGGTCCATCGTCCACGGGCGAGCAGACGGTCAAATTGGACTCTGTGGTGTGGGCGGGTGGGAAAATGGTGCCGGGCGTCGGTGTGAACAGACAGGCCGTATACAGAGTGGTCACGGCGATCGGACCGCCCTTTGTGATGCGCGCCCCCATGCAACAGGACTGGCAGTGTTTGCGGGGCGTACGGTGCTACCAGATGACCACCACGAACAAGGACAACATCACGATGACGTTCAAAGACATCAAGTTGGGATTGCACCCCGAGTGAGTGTGCACCGCAGCGTGTTTCCATTATATTATTATTACAGGTGTACAATGATAACAATATCGTTAATAACGGTTTTGGGGTCGCCGCGTGTTTGACAGGCTCATGCCGGAAACCTATTGTTGTTACGGGCTGTCTATTGACCTGCTCGAGAAAATGGCCAAGGACCTGGAGTTCGATTTCCATCTGTACTTGGTGGCTGACGGATCGTTCGGTTCGAGGAAAATCAAATGGAACGGGGTGGTCGGAGATTTGGTATCGGGTTCCGCTCACATGGCGTTTTGCCCTCTGAGCATCACGTCCGGAAGGTACGTCCGCTTGACAACAATATGCATCTTATCTGCGTGGACCGTCGTATATACGGCTGTTGAGACTCCCTTGGCGTTCTACAATCATTTATTTCCTGGCCAAAGCACATCGCATATTGTCATGCCGACACCGCAAATGTAACCCCGTGTACAAACCTTGAGGTTACAACGGGCTCCTATCTTGATGGCTTGTCAGTCCGCCGAGTATTTTCCATAAAATGTTCTATATAAAATTGCCCACGTAAATGGTTGGTAAATTTTCTTGAACCGACCCTACTATATTGGGAGTGTATCCACGTTTGTTGTAATAAAAAATAACACAAATGTCGATTTGATTTCCTGGTTTAAGTTTCCTCGAGAAAGCCTCCTAAGGGACATCTTTTCAACTTAATTTGTCCTTTTGGATCTGATTCTATAACGGACATAATCTCAGTATTTTCCTTCCACAGGCATTTAAACTCTAATTAACTCTTAGCCCAAAATATAAAACAAAGGGCATAGCCGGGTTTCTATGTAAAAAATGTTCCCAAACGAAATCAAATTTCTTAACAACTATTTCAAAGCCCATGGGCTAAGAACGTTTTGCAAAATTTTCAACTCAAAAGCCACAATATTGGTTGAGTAATTGCAGATTTCGTTTTTAGCGTTTTTTAGCGAAACTGATCAGTTATGCATATTAACACATATACAAAGCAATTTCGTTTAGTTTGTAAGTATAAAGGATTTTGAAACAATTGCAACTAACAAGATTCATTAATTTATTCGATTTTTGCCAATAACATAGGTATTTAAAAACAATGCAATACGTAAGAGAAAAAATAAATAAAAATAAAGAAACTCCAAATATAGTTTACGTTAAAGTAAGGTCGAGGCAATATTTCAAAATATAAAATATATTATTTTTCATACAAATTATAATTTGGCTGGTCATGTGCAAAATACGTTTCATTATTTAATTGACACGCTTATTAAAACGAGGGCCCAAGTTAAAATTTTGGTTTTTTTCAGACTTTTAATAAATTCCATAGGCTAAATTGAAATTAAAAATGAACATATTATAAAATAAATCAACCCATTAAATGGTAATAAATTAGGCAAAACTAAAACGTTTTGGTTAAAAAATGTATCTAGAAAAATATTTTTTGTCTCTCCTAAAAACAACCAATATTTGAATTGGCACCCTTGTTTTAATAAGCGTCTTAATAATTCTATACAATATTATGTTTTCATGGATCGTGTATAAAAAATCAGCTATATCATTGGCTAGCTTAAAGTTTTAAAAATAGTGACAATAAACGTTGGACTCATGGTCTGAACCAGATTAGTTTATTGATTATTTTATACTATAAATTAATATTATCCAATAAATATATTAACAAAATGTTTCAGCTTCTGTAAATATTTAATGTAAATATTACTGTAGCACATTCACACAAACTACACATGTTTTTTTTGTTAATATACTGAATATAATCAGTATGAGCTTTATATTCATTTAGTGTCTTGGCAAGAACGATTTAGTTGACAATATTATTTAAACTTATTCTTGCAGTGCCGTTAAGTAATTAAAACATGAAACCACAAGTTCTTATATTTTTTCATATGGTTTATATGTGCAATGGGTTTGATGACGAACAACGAATTCAACAGACGGTTCAGTTTAAAGTCCTTGTCGCAAATAAAGGATGGTCAATGCAAAAACATATTTTAAAGGTTCGAGATGATAAAATATATCAGGATGTCCACAATTTGTTTCTGATGACTTCCTTCAACATAACGCCTGAGAATTTGGATGAAAAAATTCGTCATGTTTATACATTTTTGAGCTGCGACTACGCTGTTTTGTTATTACAATATTGCGGTTACGCCACCACTCTAGGTCACGAGTGTAATAAAATTGATAACTCTTTCGAATTATTGAATTGTCTGGAACATTTTCATCAGAAACTCAAGGAAAGCAATCCGTGGATAGTGCGCATGATTGGAGCGCTCTCGTACTTTGTCAAGATAGCACCAAACATTACATTTAACAGGCAAGTACCGGAGATCTTAGAGTATTTAAAAGGATATTATAACACCAAAGTAATTATTAAATCTGAGTTATTTGATAACAATGGAACAATAAAGCCACTTAAAGTGCTTGTCCGTATTCAAGAGATCGAGGACATTCTGACTAGTGTCGTAAGCTTGTCGCAGATGTTTTTAAAAAGTAACTGCTTATTGAAGTCGAATTATTACAACGTAAATCATGATTTCTTTAGCCCTTTAAATGCTCGCATCGTTTCACCTGTACAATCTATCAATATAATAAACGAAACAATTGATAAATGTAATCATCTCTTTGGGAAATTACATTACGAAGATTTTGGATTTATATTTTGTACGATATCTAACACTACGAGTGTCGCATATCCAATCATTATCGAAAGAAGAGACAAAGGATCACATAATAAAGATCTCACCGAACGCATCACTCAGTTTAATAAGCTACTATCGAAACCCGGGTGGTGTGATTCTAGCCCACATTACAGCGACGAATGTGGTATTGTTGAACTCGGATTCCAATACAAACTCAAAGATTTATTTGAAATAAATTTTGGTCAGATATTGGTTAAAGAAAACAATTTCGACAAGAAACTTAAACAAGCGCAACAGTCTTTGAGCTGCAAGTTTGCCCTGACTCTAAAAGATTATGTTGAATATGCGTATGGTCTTAGTGTTCTGTATGGAAAAATGTTAAATCGTGATGATTTAAAGAATTGGCAGGAATGGTTTAACACTGCTATCATATACGGTAAAATGTTTTTAGCACTTATGAAATTTGCATTTTTGTATTTAGATCAGTTGTCCCAGGACACATTATTCAATAGAAATATTTCAGTTATCGTTGATTACATGTTATGTTACTTTGATCAAGTAAAAATCAACCATTCTTCATTCAGATATGATAACTCGAGTGCCACTAATGAGATAGTTAGTGACGAATTACAGTACAGCAAAAGTATCCTATCTTTTGTCGAAAGACATTTACGCTTGTTCTTAAAGGAATCTTGCTGGCCGAATCTGTTGGAAGAAAGAAATGAAGGCATTTCTAAAGCTGCCAGTCTCGTTCAAAAGCATACGCAACCACCAATGCATTCTGAACCTTTTGTTAATATAATATGTGAAATGCAAAGAGTTACTCGTGATTTTATAAATCGTTACGAAAAATTTGGATTTGAATATAATTCAAATTGTTGACGAGTAACGTAAATGATGAAAAATAATTCTCAGTAAAAAGATAAATTAGCGCTTATTTTTAAATTCCACATTGGAACACTATCCTAGTCTAAAATATAGATAATATAATATGCATAATACTCATTGTTTTTTAACCCATGTTTGTAAAAACCAAAAAAAAAATACTATATTTTTTCAGTTGTATTATTATAAATTTGTTTACGGTTAGTCATTATTTTACCTTAAAATTTAAGTAAAAATGTAAAGAGTCAAGTATTATTTATTTTACTTTATTGTTTGTTTTTTTAAATTTGAAATATTTTTGTAAAACATAAAAACATATATTAAATTTTATTTCTTAATACTCTGACGACTGTTCACTATTGTCTACATAGTAGAAATAATCTTTTAACCTAATTTTCAGAAAACTAATTGCATTTTACAGCAAACTAAACAACATATTCAATATTTATTAGGTAGGCAACTTAGTAATACTAGTTTCTGTTTTACATGAAAAAAGTTACTACTTATAAACATTATTATAACTTTATTCTTTATACAGTGAAATGTTTGCGTAAATGGCTGATAAGAGAGAAAAAAAAATAAATCCGGTTTTTGTACATAAAAAAAAAAGTATAATTTAGCTAACAGTACTATAACAGTTTTGTCGAGGATATACCAAATTCCATCGGTTACTCTGGAATTAGGCAGTTTTACTGTGCAGCTATTTATTATTTATCGTATTCACGGTTCCATGCAAAATATGTAAAACCAGCAGAAATACTATTATTTCTGAAAACGTACCGGCTATAATCAATGAAGATAGTGAAGTAAGACAAAGACAGTTTTGAAGTATGAGATTGTGCATATCATATATTGTTCATTAATTAAAGAATTTTATTTTTCTTCCTCTTGTATTTATTTTTGTAAAACTAAATAAATGAATCTCGTTAACTGAAATTATTTCAAAATCATTTATACTTACAAACAAAATAAAATGTTTTGTATATGTGTCATTGCATAACTGATTAAAAAAACAGTGACTCATCCATTATGGCGGCTATCGATTTAAAAATTAGGCAAAAATGATCTTAGATTATATTTTTTCGAATAGTTTGTAAGACATTTAATTTCGTTTGGGAGCTTTTTTTACATAGAAACCTGGCTATGTCCAGTGTCTATTGCCGGAATTCTCAAAAATCTAAATCAATGATCCTGAACGTCATAAATAGAACAATTTTGTTTAAAAGTACTCTTTATAAGAAAAAATCGAAAGTTTTAACCTTTATACTTTATTATATTAATATGTTCAAATTCTATAGAGACTAAGTGATGTTGAATAATGACTTAATATAATAATAGTTATTCAAAAAATCTCATACAAGACTTATGAATACCCGATCTTGAATATGTTTTTGGGTCGCTATAAAAAAAGTTGAAAGCAAGTATTCAATACCAAAATTAAAGTATAAAACCTAAATAAATTCATTTCTATTAAAATCTCTGTTTAAAAACACTCATGTGTAACTTTAGATTTTATACACTCAAGCTATAAAATATAAAGTTTAAAAATTATGTTTTGTATAGATTACTTATTTGGCTAAGTGCAAAATATTGTTATGTGTATTTAGTTTGAAGATTTGTTTTTGTTGCGATGCGATCACAACTCAACTATTAATTGTATCTGGACCACTTGCCAACTAGAAGGTGGCAAACATAAACTTGACAAAAGCACTTAGGCCTAATTGGAATGCAACGGTCAAATAGCATCACAATAGTTAAATTACTATGCCAGATAGGACTTGAACTGACTAAACCGCATAGCTACTAATGAATATAATGGTGTGTGTATATTCTATAGGTCTAAGTCGATCGACTTCTCGGCACCGTATTTTTACAGCGGCGTGTCCATGATGGTCGCTCCAAAACGAAAAACCAACGTTCCTCTGCTCGCTTTTCTGTTGCCGCTAAGTCCAAGTCTTTGGATCGCTATATTCGTGTCGCTCCACGTCACGACCGTGGCGGTGGCCCTGTACGAATGGTTCAGTCCGTTTGGTCTAAACCCTTCGGGCAGGCAGAGGTCCAAAAACTTTGGGTAAGAACTAACGTGCAACGATCAAACTTAAGACACTCGTGTCTCCATCGATCGCTATGACTTTAGGATGCCATCGGCCTTGTGGGCGATGTGGGGTCTTCTGTGCGGCGCGTTGGTCAACTTCAAAGCACCGAAATCGTGGCCAAACAAGTTTTTGATAAACGTCTGGGGTGGATTTTGTGTGATATTCGTGGCCAGTTACACGGCCAACATTGCAGCCCTGATCGCATCGCTTTTGTTCCAAAACGTTCAAGTCGACTACAACGAACGCAACGTAACTATAGCCTGCTGATCCGATTGCCGATACCAAGTGATTGAATCTATTAAAAAAAATCTGTATTTTTTTAGATACTGACATTGAGAGTGGGAGCAGCTAAATCGTCTGCCGCTGAATTATACTTGAAAGACAAGAACCCAGAGCTGTGGCAACAGGTCCAGAAATATTCTGTTCCCGACACGGCTACGGGCATGGGGCTGTTGAGGTGAGTCATTTATTTTAAGCCAGCTTAAAAAAAATTTATTCGTTTCTCGCATTTTCATGAAATGCGCCTTTAAGTCTAAATGACAACCATTTACACTTATATGTAGAGTTATTACTTTTTTTATTATGTAAAATCGAGTGCCCAACTATATATGTGATTTATGTACTCCTTGATTTGATCCAAATGCCTTTGTCAATCACCATTGTGTAAAGGTTAGTCATGTGAATTATGTTTTCTCTAGGAAGACACACATGCGAACGTCAGTCCTAATGGTGTGTGTCCTAATGGTGGAGAGGGGGTGAAATGTAACAATCGGATGACGATACAGTTAGTGAACATACAGACCCCTAACGAATTTATAGAGCATACTCAAAAAAGGAGTAGTAGGATAAACGTACTGAAGCACAACATTTAAAAGAAGGACTAAAGTCAAATTGTAATCTTGATCTTTTAAGCAAGAGTCACGTTTCATATGTCTGAATTCAATATTCAACTCGAAATCCAATAAAAAAAAGCTAAGCCAATTTGACTACATAACTCCTTTTTTACAGTACACTTACTTTACATCTGGTGTTTTAAACTACCCAAAATGTGTCTATTAGAAGTATGATTCGTAGCGTTAATTGTTGAAAACTGTCTAATAACATTTTAAAATGAAAATTTAATTTAAAAAAAAACACTTTATTATTTTACTGGTGAAGAGTGTAGATATTTTTATTGTCGAATGCCCAGTCATTCGACAATAAAAATATCTATCCCAGTGAAAAGGGATTAAGTGGACATTTTCGTTTTTCATACTTAATACACAAAATTGATTGATTATAGAATCCAAAGCTACAATTATGTAAATGACAAAATCACTGTGTCGCTTATCGTAAGAAGGCTGTAAGGGTTCTATAAAGTTTACTAATAAACAAAGACATTTTAAAATTATTGAATTATATTATTTGTTTGAATTTTGTTATACTCTTCTTTTTCGATTTAGGAACGGTAGTTTGGATATATTCGTCGGCGACAAACCCATCTTGGACTACTACAGCGGCACTGACCACGATTGCAAACTCAAAGCGCACGGTGATCCGATTTACGAAGACGTGTACGCCGTGGGCATGACGAAGGGCTTCGTTCTTAAGGTACGGCTCGTCAAAACTAAGAAAATAAAATCAATTATTACATAACAACTAACCACCCTACCACGCGTTGTTCATCCGTAGGAAAAAGTCTCTGCCACCGTTTCCAAGTACGTCAACAACGGTTTCATGGACATTTTGCAAAACAAGTGGTTCGGCGAATTGCAGTGCGTCGACCGCGAAATGGAAACCTCAGACTTGGGTCAACCGACTCCGCTGGGGGTGGATGCTTTTTTGGGCGTTTTTCTGATGTTGAGCTGCGGCATCGGGGCCGGCGTGTTCATTCTAATCTGCGAGCACATTTTCTATCATTATGCGCTACCCAAGCTCCGGCAGTCGGCCCCAGACTCTCTTTGGCGCAGTCAAAACGTGATGTTCGTAAGCCAAGTACGTACTGTGACCATCGTCCACGACCCGTCGAGGTCATTGGTTTTTTTTCAATAGGAAAATCGGATTGATTGTTACAAATTTTGTATGTTTTCCCCTTCCATAAGAAACTCTACAAGTTCATCAACAGCGTCGAACTGATATCGCCGCAACACACTGCCAAGGAGTTGGTGCACACCTTGAGACAAGGTCAGATCGCATCTCTGTTCCAAAAGAGCGTACGCCGGGTTAGTTTGCCGTTCATGCATCCGCAACACGCTCAGGTTGGTGACGTCGTGGCCGACACCGCTGTTGTTTCCTTTTTAATGTGTTGTTGTATTTTGGTTGCAGAAAGAATTCGAAAAGAGAAAGCGGAAAGGACAGTTCTTTGAAGTCATTGAAGAAATCCGAAGGTACTTGGCGAACTAATTGTGTTTAACAGTATTGTAAACCATTTGTATGTATCGTTTTAGAATTCAAAAAGAAGAACGGGAAAACAAGAAACAGACCGTCAGACTCTCGATATCCAATTCACCCACCGGACAATCACCGAAACGAACCAAATTTTTGTCGCCGGCCCGGTAAGTCAAACGGTTTAAATGTTAATTACAAAATATAATATGCTTGCCTAATGACGACAAATTCATAAACCATTCATCCAACATATTCGACACAAAATGGAAACAAAATTATAGAATTGATTGTCCGCAGTTAAAAGATTTACATTTTTTAAATATAGATTTAAGCATTCGAGTATTTCTCCAAGTCTGAAAATTCATATCGAAGTGTCATTTTATAAGATGGTTTTTTATCATTTTCATGCATAAACATCTCCAAAACTCTCGATTAAAAATTTTAGTGTTTTTTTCACAATTTATTCTATTTTTAATTTTAATTTTTGTTATCAACATGTAACCTAACGTTTAAATATTTATCATGGAAAAGTAACACGTTTCATCCATGTGCGCGTTTTATATGTATTGAGTTCAGTCAATCGCATTTTCTGTGCCGTCAGCATTAGGTATTTTAGATGAGAAAATTGACCGTTTATTTTTCGTAATAATCACTGCATCGCATATAATATATATTTTCTAGACTGAACCTGGGCAGAAGGTACAGCAAACAGAGGTCCAGGAGTTCGGGCAACTTGAGTATCCGCCGGTACAGCACGGACGTGGTGAGCTATTCGGAGAACGTCGGTCGCAGACTGAGCCAAGGCGCTTCGAACAGTCCCCCCGACTTCAACACGCGCAAACAGTTGATAAGGAGGTCGTCCGGAAATCCTAGCCCGGCCGATTCAAGCAGGATGAGCATATTTTCCGCGTCCGAACTCATCGGCGCCAAACTCAGCAATAACAATCTGTACGTGGAGAACGACTTGCCTCGCAGTCCCAACCTACTATCGCCCGGCGTGTTTTTCAGGTGAAAGACGTTTTTCCCAAAACCGATTACCATATGGCTTTGTGCCGTTACTTTATAATATTTTACTTATTGCGACCCCCCCCCCCCTCCTGTAAGCAATAATTAACACGCTTGGTCGTTTTATACAGGTCGAGTTTTTCGTCGGACACGTCGTCGTCGCGACCCGACTTGGGAAACCCCAGCCGGAAGTCGAGCTATTCGCAAGGTCCGCCTAGGGTGGTGATCAACGGCGAACAACAGACTATCCGTCGGAAGTCAGACGACGAACCGTCGGTGACGTTGCCGAGAATAGTGGAGGGCAAGAGGGACAGGAGGTCGAGCGACGGACACAGGCCGAAGAACCGGAAGTCCGTGGAAGTGTTCCGGTGGCTCAGGCAAGCGCCCAAGACTGAGTTGGAGGCCATGAGCAAGATGTCTGAAAGCGAGATCAAGCACTGTATACTGCAGGCACTCCAGGAAAGAGATCCGACTTGATCGCCCTGGCGACGATTCCAATACGATTTGTAATAATGAAAAAAAAATTATAACAACACTTTAAGTACGTATCTGCCATAAAACTTTATGGAACTTAAACTAGGTAGATATTTAGACTTTGATTTCGTATCTGGCCTCAGATATTTTCAAACGCTTCCAGTGCTTTTTGAAACCCACTTAATATTATACATAATAAGGTAAAACTATACATGAAAATAAAACTTACTACTACTTACTAAAACTTATAGAATGTGATAAATAAGTTGTTAGGCGATTTCAGATTCTAGCTTAGGTTTTATTTGATTTGATTCACTTCTTATTTAAACGAGTGGTAATTAAATTAGATAATCATGACAAAACTACCGCTATGATTTTAATGATAGACTCCTTGTATCGTAGCCGTTTCCATAAATAAATCTCATTTAAGTTTTCTATATATGATTTTAGGCATAGTTTGTGATGAGACTAGTTATTAGTAATATATATATATGGATGCTAACATAAGGTTAGATATTTTTTAATATGGACATAATTAAATACAACAATTTTCAAATCGAATTCATTCGCGATTTCTTTAGTGAGTTACAATATACCTAAAACGTACATTTCATTCAGATATATGGTCAAAAAATATCAAACTATCAAATTGATACAAGAGTCGATTTATAAGTCACAATTTATTAAATTGGTCGGTTTTTGAAATCCATCAAAATGTATCCGGAAGTAAATTTATAGGCGCATTACGATTTATCAGTAAATCAAGATTTCGTACATTGTATCAATTCCCACCTCTTATTATACTATGTAAGTTAAATTTAAATCTCCTTCTCCTGTGTTTAAATACAACTATTATTATACGTATATAAAATAATATTTTTGACAGCTCGAGACAGAACTCGTGAGTAAACGATTGGCACTAGAAAAACAAATTCTTAGACCAGATTCGAAATCAATATCAATATAAAATTATTTACAAAATATAATTTTATATGTTTTTGTCATTAATGTAAAAACAATTTTTATTCAGATCATAGACACCTAAATTGTATAAATAAAAATGCTCATTGTTGACTTTTTTTTTGTTATTTCTTCCCGACAATGAAGATTGTCTGAACTAAGATTGTGAATGTTTAAAGTAAAAATATAAGTATATAATACTGTGTTGTAATAATAGGCGACGGCTCAAAATGTGTAGGTTGTAAGTGCAATGACAGCTGAAGAGAGGATATTAAAAGTGTATAATTTTGGTTAATAGGTATTTAATGTTCGGCACTAATAATATATATATATTGCAATATAATAATATTATATTATTGTTGTACTTTAGACATAAGCGTTAATTTTATTAAAAAAACATTTAATCACGCTCATGTTATTATTATTATTATTCACTTTTAATGTAATATATAAAAACGTACAAATACACGGATAATAACGATCAATCAATATTAGGTAAGAAAAGCGAATCTTTACACATGAATTAACCCTTACCCGTTACACCCCCCTCCCCCCAAAAAAACACCCCTTCACCGAATCTTTTATAAGTACAGTTTTATTTTTGATGGTGTTAAATAAACCCATAAACCAATTCCCAAGACCTATAATAATCCGGAATTTCAAAACCAGACAGTAATACATTTTTAATTTGTTCAAAACAATATATTTTTCGGGGTTTCAATAACTCAAAACTGTTATCAACGAAATATTGTTAAAATATTATTCAAATATTACCATTTGGGGGGGGGGGGAATTTCACATATTTTATTTACATAAAGATAAAAAATATATAATTATTATGGAAATATATTGGTTTTACTTAAGCGACATTATTTTGAGAAAATTTAGAAAAAATTTAAGTGCTTATCTATCTGGGAATGAGTTACAAATAACCCAATACCTAATAAATCAGGTGCAGATCTTTCGACGATAATTGGGTTCACAGTTTTTCTTACTACCTTCTAGTATGTAATTTTTTTTTCAATTGTTTTTATTTGTATTTCTTGTTATTTGTATTATTGTTATTATTATTATTGGTATTATTCAATATTGCGCGTTGTCGTTATTATTGCTACCGTTATAATATCGGTAATAATGTTCCTCGTTACAAATGTTATTATCGCGGTGGATGAATATTATAAATATACTTAGTAGTACCTACTAAGTTAGTACTCCTTGTAAGTGTAAACACCATTTCGAAATAGTAGATATTATTTTAGGCCGACATCTCTAACACGTTGCCACCATCATCGCCGTTAACGCATTAAATTCTTATTGTATACATATTACTATTATTATTATTATTATAAACTTTATTATCGTGTCGTTTAAAGTAATATAACATTATTATACGATATATTATATTACAATAATTGTGTTATTGATTAAAAGTCAATTAAAAAACCGGTGGTTTTACTGTTGTTGCATTTGTTTCGAGTAGAACGAGCTGGACGTGAACTATTATTTTATAATATCTACTAGGTGTATATTATATTAGTAGTTTCACTATCGTTTGGCGGACAATATATTATATTATATTATTATAATATTGTATTGTCGACGAGGCCTTGGATTTTGCCGGGGACCAGCTGCCGAAATAAAAAACAAAACCGTCGTCGGATATTATAAAATAATATATGTTAAAAACACCGTGCCCGCACGTTCTTTTTTTATTTAACTATTTACACAGGTTGGTCGCGTTTGGTTAATATCACAGTGGTAACCGTTCGTAGAGCCGTGTGTTATAGTAGGTACTGTATTATATTATTATTTTTGTCCCCGCCATTGTCGGTGTATAATATGTGTTAAACGGTGTATCGTCGACCCACTATATATTATTATAAAACAACAACCGGCGATAGCGGACTTCCGATGTGACGGACTCTGGCCGGGGAATCCTCGCCAAACCGACAGTGCCGTCTATTAGACTGTTGGAACGTTACCGTGTTTGTGCGTCGTTTGAGCGGCGCGACCGTTAGGCACCGTCGTCTTGTGTGAATCGTTAACTTAATAATAATACACTATACTTGCACACACTCGGGCCAAATCACGAGTGGTGGTACGACCAACAGGTACGTTCGGTCGTAACAGTGTGCGTGCACTGGCCAGATAGGGCGGCGAGAACGGTGAGTGCGGGCACGGTGGAAAATCAATATAGGCTCTCTAGTTTTTCCCGGCAGAGAAAAAAAATCGTTTTTCGTCTATACCGCGGATGTGAAGTTTTCGGTCGGCCGACAAGTCGCACATTTGCACGGATACAATTATTTATTATTATCCTCGCCTCACATACATATGTAATATTATTATTATCATACCGCCACGGTGTACTCGCATTTTTTCCCCCAGTAACTTTTGAGCGGCTCTCCGCCGGAGTGCGTTGCGGACCGCCAGGTGGCGCCGCCGCCGTCCTTGTCCCCTTTATCGACCGAGCTTTTGATCCCCCCGTCCTACTGCCCCCTTTTCGCCACGGACTTCCAGAACCGAGTTCGAGACCGTAGCCACTCGTGTGTAGTGCACACACGCTCGCTTCAAGTGTCCGCGGCAGATTCGAAAACAACAACAACAACCAAAAAAAAAAAACAGCAGCAGGAACAGCGCCGCTTATCGACCGACCGATGAGACACGTCTGAGTCGCGGAGTGCACACGTCCCAGCAAACGCGCGCCCGCCGTCGTCACCGTCGCCGCCCTCTCCCCAAAAAAAACTATCCACTCTATACTTAGGTATCTCTATCGCCGAGTTCACTGCAAAGGACTCCGAAGTCCACACGTAACAGCAGCACACGCAAAAACCCCACAGCGGCGTTAGGTCGAGATGGCCGGTCAAGACAACAAATGGGTGAAGGAAGGAGCCGATCAGAATTTCGATTACATGTTCAAGCTGCTGATCATCGGCAACAGCAGTGTGGGTAAAACGTCGTTTCTGTTCCGGTACGCCGACGACAGCTTCACGTCCGCGTTCGTGTCCACCGTGGGCATAGACTTCAAAGTCAAAACAGTGTTCAGGCACGACAAGCGCGTCAAACTCCAGATATGGGTGAGTAATCCACCATCTCGATAGGCGACAATAATAATAGTAATGATAATTGTGTTTAACTTACTGAGATATTACTTATATTGTGGTAACGGGTTCTTTCGGTCGGTCGACGTTGTAGGTCAACCGGGCGGACCTCCCCTCCCCCTTCCTTCGCCTATTCCCTGGTACTAAATGATAAAAATATAAAGAGATCCTTGTTTTTCTTTGTACCGCACAACCGTTCACTGTTTTTTTCTTCTTCTTATCGTTTCCAGGACACGGCTGGCCAAGAACGTTACAGGACCATCACTACGGCATACTACAGAGGCGCCATGGGATTCATTCTGATGTACGACATAACTAACGAGGAGTCGTTCAACAGCGTCCAGGACTGGTAGGGAGACGGGAAACGGTGGACGGAAAACGGGCATGGTATCTACCCGATACTGATCGATTGTGATTTTTTTTTATACAGGGTGACGCAGATCAAGACGTACTCGTGGGACAACGCGCAAGTAATACTGGTTGGCAACAAGTGCGACATGGAACACGAGCGGGTGATATCCTACGAAAGAGGAAAGGCGCTGGCCGATGAGCTGAACATCGAGTTCTTTGAAACATCTGCAAAAGACAACCACAATGTCAAGGTCGGTGGATATAATTAATGTCCCCACATGTTGTTCTACCGCGGCTTTGCTCTCGGTCGTCTGCCGCTTATCAGATTTATTAGGTGACCGCCCCCTTCCTCCCCCCCCCCAGAGAAGAATTTAAGTACTGCTGCTACCGTTCGCTTATCATACACTTAACTGAGTAACTAACTAAATGAAATAAAATTCGGCAAAATATGTGCACGCTTAACGGCTATAGTTCAATTGTTTAGTTTTTTAAACGTTTTGTAAAAAAAAGCAATACTTTAGCCAAACAATAAATATAATATTTACTTTTATGATTTCTCGAAAACCCATAAATAATGTACTTAATCATAACGAGAGATATATTTTCATAAAATCAAAATGATTCTAAGAACAATGTTTATTTTTTAAAACAAAATTATTCTATTTTAGTAACAAACAAAATATTATGATGTCTTTATGCAATAGTAATGTGAGCTTTAAATGCTATTGACGTTCTTAAAGTCATAACATTTCAAACAGTTTACACTACAAGTAATCTTTAATTTCAGTAATTTATGAAACGCAATAGATTGTTTCCGACTGTCCAAATGTCCGCTGTGTTGATACTAAATAGGTCAATAATTTTACACTTAGTTATCGCCAAATTGATATCCTATAAAATGTGATTAAATTTTGCGCAGTTGAACTAGATATTATTTTCCCCCCAATGTTATTTTAGCAGTTCAATAAACACGATTAACGCATTTAAAAAAAAAGTAGCACGGTATTGTCGAATAAACGGATTTGGTTATAATATTGTATATTATATTCGTTAAATACTTGTGTCGTCGGTTTGTAAACATAATGGGGCGCTTTCATTTAACTTAATAGCGCCAACTATATTATAGATATTGAATTATTATTGTCATTATGAAGTCAACGACGACAACTACGACGGCATAGTTTACCTTTAACGACATGACACGACGTGGCCGTTTCTAATTGCTAGCCTTTAAGTGTAACGGTAATAAATTGCAAACTTATACTTACTTGTTATAAATAATAAGTCTAGCGCATTTTCCGCTTTGTACGTTTGCATATTTTCGCAGCTGGTCGTTTATAAATAAGTTTCGCCAAATGGTCCTCAATTTGCGGTTGACTCAATAAACCACCCCTTTTATTTTTGTTTAGAGTTCTATAAAATTGGCTGAATACACTATTGATGTATTTTGAAACGTTTGACGGAATAGCTCAAGGGGAACTCTGACGTTTCATCGCCATAGTGATGACACACAAGATTAGCTTAAAAATTAAACAATACTTAGTAAGCTAAAATAATAAGTTTAACAACACTAAAATTACAGGATGAACTATTAACGTTAAGCATAACTGGCGAGAACGGTCATGAATCGTTTATTTATGAAAGGTCTCATGTACAAAAAGTTAAACTTCTTGTACCCTGTATTCCGATTAAAGCATAAATCCAAAATCTATGTGTTAAATTTGTGTTAATAAGGTCGCTGAAAATACACTTTAATCGAAACGATTAAACTATTTGCGCTCAATAAAAATAATAATTATTATTTTGAAAAAAACTTATATTTTTGTTATGGAAAATTGTTAATAAATCAACTTTAAACACAGAGGCGATCTAGGTTTCTTTTTTTCACGAGGGATACTACGAATTTTAGTTAGTAGTAATCATCAAGTTAGATAAAAAAAATTGTTTTTGTCGGACCGGCTTTTGTTAGTATTTGATTTTTTAACATTACTCGTTCGTTTGGGGTTAACCCGAATGTTTTTTTTTTCTAAAGCTCTGTTTGCAACGCCCCTTTTGTAATGCAACAACACCGCCCAACTGCCGGCTGTCTAATTTTCCAATTGCACATACTTATTATTATTATTATAAAATTTGTTTCAATTAGATTTGACTTGATACTAACGTATTTCGTTATTACAGGCCGTTTTCGAACGTCTCGTGGACATCATCTGCGACAAGATGTCGGAAAGTTTGGACTCGGACCCGACACTGGTGGCCGGAGCCAAGGGCACTAGACTCACCGAACAACCGCAGGGCCCGAATAACTCGAATTGCAACTGTTAATTTTGAATACCGTTGTATTATAATTTTTTTTTTTTAATAATAAGCAAACAACCCGTTAAAAACTTCCGTTATAAAAAAAAAACATAATAACATGATAAAATATAATAATATAATACTGAAAGGCGGAAAATTGCTGTTGGGTGCGTAAAAAAAAAAAAATACCATCTTTATAGTCGGATAAAAATTAATTTAAAACTACTACCTCATGAATGAAATAAAAAAAAAAATATTTTAATATTCTCAGTGATACCAGAAGTCTTACGGCGAGATCCTGTAAAACATAAATCATAATACACTATAATGCTATATACCTAATATAATATATTGGACAATAAAAATAATAATAATAATATAAAATTTGTATGATTTATTTTCGAGTAATTCTTATTGTTATAGCCGCTCGCTTTAACGTCGTCAAGCACAATAATAATAATATTATATCAATTATTGTTGTATATGAAACACCGACAACATTTTTAATTGTCTTAAATATATTATGCAAATAAAATCGAACGTTTGTTATAATCCAAGTCAATTGTCGTCTCAGACAAAGAGCTAAAGTCGATAAAAATGAGTATTACCCATCGAGACAATTTTAAATATTAATCATTTTGTATAGACCTTCAAAAAAAAATAACCTCCGTGAAGGGCGCCCTCGAACATGGGTTGAAATCCATAAAAGACACTGTCCTGTTCTTAACGTCATCACAAATCCCGTTAGATCATAAAGATAATCATTATGAAAATTCGCCGATAAAGTAATTTTAAAGCGAGAGTATAAAATCGTACTTATGTTGTAGACGTGTAGTGAATATAAATAAAATATTTAAAAAAAAAACCATTAGCGACTTAAAAGAAAACAAATTTAAATACTTACCAATTAATATGTATATTTGAAGTTAATAATAAAACACCGTGACGGTTCACACAATTTATAGTTCACACTGATTGGAGTGTTTTATAATCAAATTAAAATATAATTTATAATAATATGTATAATAATAGATGTATCGGTATTTTTTAAAATACTTCTAGTTGATTGTTTTTTGTGCATAACAATATATTAGTTATATATTATGCATACTTTCACTATAGTATTATAATAGCGTGTTGTCCATAGCGGAGCGTAGAGAGATGATACAAATATATAATATTAACTATTAAGTAGTCGATTGATCGTTTAAGGTCTTGATGTTTTTTTTTTTTGAAACTTAAACTGATAACACGTAGCGAGAAGTAAAAACAAACAAAAATTAATATAATTTTGAAAAAAAAATCATATGATACAATATTAATTACTGTTATGTTTTATCCAATTTGTTACATATTAATGTTTTTATGGCACGTATAAAACAACATGGACGTGTACATAATATTATATTATTTATAAACAAAATAAGGATATATATATATATATATATAATATATATATATATTATATATATTTATAAATATTAAACACTATTTGATCTTGATTAAATTTAATTATTAAATTATTATTATCTATATATTTAATTTATCAATATTTTACAAGTAAGATAGGTAATTATTATTGATTCGTGTATAGGTAAAAAATGAAATAAAAAACAACTATCAAACCAAATACTGTTGTTAATACATTTTTTTTTTTTTTAATTGATGTTAGACTGCAGTTACGATATAAGTTTTTCCTTTATTTAATGTGCCATGAAAATGATTCCACGGTAGCTTAAATAAGGGAGGAGGGCAAGCTTGGGAAGTTAAGAAGGAAGATTGTTGCTCCAGCAACCAAATTATTGGAACTAATTAATTTTTGTCCAAATTTTGTCGGAGTTTAGTAGATATAAGGCTAAACTCTTCAAGCACCTACACACCCTTGTTTGTGTCAACGTGGATCAATAAATAAATGTACAAGGCTGGGCACTAACTCGTAAAATATATAAGTTCTAGTTAAAATAATCTTAAGTAGTTTCACTCTTTAATGTTTGGATCGCCCAATTATAGTTGAATTAACTTGTCTCGAAAATAATATATAAATAATGATTCTAAAAACAATGAATACATTTAAGGCGTTAACTATTTTTGTAACCAGTTTAAGTCGGTTTACTGAGTTAATAATGTAATTTCTTTAAGTATAAATCACTAATTTGCTCTGCCTTGGTAATCATTTTAATTATGTATCCGTTAATAATATATTATTATGTTTTACCCGTCGTGCATGTTCTTTCACAGGATGATCATAAAAATAATTTGCTCGGATCTACACTTCAGACGGTCTTACTTATTCTAACCTTAGTGGTGTATCTTTATAAGAATACATACTTGTGCCCTCGACCAACCACTTAAATAACGCTTCGCTGGTTTCGAGTGGTTGACAATTTTTTTTCAACAACGTTACGCTTTTATTTGAACCCAGTTCTTATACATAGAGTAGGTATTATGTCCACATAATAATATTACACAATATATTTTATATGCATACTATTATATGATATGCTCGAACGAAAATTTAATTCACCCTTAAGTGTTTATCTGTGTTTTAAAAATAGCTATTAAGTATAACGCAAAATAAGATTATTTTTGTGTTATAATAACAAAATAGATGTTTGAAATACTAATATACATACCTACCTAAGTATAAATATTATATTCTAAATCAAATACAAATAATATTAATTGGCTCCTTAATGATATAACATAGTCTTAGTATCGATTTAAGGATTAGGATTTAATGGATTAACCATGCTTTCGGCCAACTGAAGTGTAATTAATTGTTGATTTTTGACATGAATACAGTGTTAGGTTAGGTTAGTCATAGAACGATTAGGTAATAAAGAAAACCTTAAATACCCTGCGTAGCCTTACAATACATAAAATATATAATATTATATTCAGTTATCAAATAATTGTACTTATACTGTTAAACATTATAATGTACGCTTCTCATTTATAATAAAAAATATGTACAAGGAGATGATCATTTCATGTAATGTTTTAAGTTATGTTATGTTTTAGTGTTATAATCTAGTATTATGCTTGTCTCAGAAATTTTCTTATAATGCGACATATTAATTTAAGTACTTATTATATACAGTGACACGAATATTATTATTTTGTAAGAACAATAATTCAAATTATTATTGTTTTGCTTCGTATTTAATACATAGGGTCAACATTTTAATAGTGAGACGAATTTGAACATATCTAAAGATGATGAATAAATTATTTAAATCCGTTAAGTTGTTAATCTGTGAATAAAACGTATCCCGATTTGATGTTCGTGTGTGCATAACATTATTTATTTATTTTAATTGATCATGAAAAATATTTGTAAAATATATCATTATTATACTATTATGACGAATCAATACAGCGCGTACAATAAATGCAAAATAAAAATCTAAGATATTGCGTTATCATTTTCCTTTTACATTCTTGTATTTCCACATATATCTAAATAGTTGTATTTTCGTTTTGTGAAATTAAAATTTGATTTGATATATATAGGCTCCAGTGAGGAAAATTTTTACCAGATTTATCCCTCCTTTGAAAAATTGCTTCCACTGATCAGTATCAGTTTGAGTTTGCCATCAAGCATAATATACTGATTAATATTAATTTCAAGGTAAAAACTGAAATCCTAAAGACAATGGCGTTCTTTATTAACTTATTGTATTTTCTTGACGGTATGGACTCGCAAAAAGTTTTATAGAAAAAAACATAAATACAAAAAAAAAGTGCAATCATTATTGAGAATTCAAAAAATCGCCTTGGCCTTAATCTTTATACAGTTATGTAATACGTTTATAATGAAGTTTGTTATTTATTTTATACCTGTTTTAATTATAGGATAATGCTCGTCACGCTAAAAAAAATAAGTAGTTATCAGTAATAACAATGTAAGCATACCTACTGTATATGATTAACTATAACTATTTTCGGTTTTGATTTATTTTTATTATAAATTTACTTATTGTTCCTGGACTCACGATAACTTTTTAGTTGTTAACTACTATTTCTTGATTTAGCAAATTTATAAATCATGTATCTTGCACCAAAAATACTTATTAGTTCCTAAGTACACTTTTTCTCTGCATGATTGACAGTGTTCTAGAAGCCGAAATAAGATTGGTTACGATAAAAAAATTTGCATTGGAAACCGTACACTACTGAAAATATAAATCCTCGAAACCTTACCTGATTCTTTTGTAAGTATACAACTGAGTTTTGTTAATAGTTATTAACCATAATTATATTGTAGTTTTTTTTTATTAACAAAAAAATAGTTATTTACTATGATAAGTTATCTTATATTTAATTAACTATTGACAGGTGTATAGTCAGTTTTTAATAATTATTTTAAAGTTATGAAGTTTAAAAGTTAGAATTTAATTTAAATAAAAATTACATAGTGCCGAAGCGTCAAAATAAAATTGAAAGATGAAAAATGTTCTATCCTATTGAAAAACCTATACGAAAACTTAAAACAATTTGGACGATCGTTAGTTTGGTTTCGGGAAGAGGAACGCCACAAGACATACTCGTGTTCCAATGTATTTTCTATCGAACACATTTATTTCTAAATTTAACCGTCCTCTAAAACGCGTTAAACGACAATAATTTTGAAAACTGGTATACATTTTTCAATACTTGTATATATGTAATGCATAATTGTGAGTCAATTGCAAAGTTTGAAATTTTTTTAGCCTCAATGTGGAGCTAAAATGATATTATTATAAATACAATTTTAAAAATGGGAAAATTGCACCTAGACCGTTGAATAGTTGTGGGTTACTATGTGCGAATGAACCACCAGTCAAAAAGTATCTGAAAATTATTATTATTATATTTTTGATAAATGTATAATTGCCATACTTGAGATTTTGTCTTATTTTGTTCGAATAAAAAATTGGAATGTATAAATATTTTTTGGCAACTCGGTTTCAACGTTAAACGAAACTTTTTAATGCTTTGTATCACAAGTTTTTTCACAACATACGTTGTACAATTTTTTTACAAATACAATTTACAAAAAATCTAGTCTTATGCATCGTACTTTAGTAAAACCGCTATTCAGACGGACACTTGTATAAACAGCTTGTATTATGTTCATTTTCATTTTCCTCTCAACGTTATTATGTTCTCTACTGTACAACTTTACACAGTGTGTTTCGGAATTATAAACGATCATTGTTACAAAATGCAAAAAATTGCTATTTTTATTACATGTATCATTATCTTGGAAACATTACTGGGTAATTTGTGATTGCATTCTTACACTATTTAATTCCAAGGTTGATTATACAAAATACAATTTTTTTTTTTATATTTAGTCACACAAGGTCGGCCATATCCAGGTAAGTAACAACTAACAATTAAAGACACGTTACAGATTTTTCTTTGTTTTTTTATACAAAATATTTAAAAAAATATCATTAATCTTCTCTTTTTATTATTACTAATTTATACAATTAGTGTATACTATTATCACGAAGTAATATAGGACTTGAAATACAAGTATGAGTATAAGTAATAAAAGTTATGTAGAATAACGATATATTTAGAGATTACATTTATTATAAAATTGTATTCGATGTATACACGGCAAAAGAGCTAATAGAAATTTTAGAGCTAAATGAAGATTTCATTATTTAAAATGTTTAAGTTGAAGTCCACATGAAATGTGGAAAAAACAATACTTAATCATTTATAATTTTTCTTAATCGTCATCATGAATTTTTTCTTAAAATTAAGCAAAAGTAATTTTTTTGTATTATGTTTTGGATTAGATGGAGATGATTCTAAAAAAACGGAAGACCCAAAAGGTCAGTATAGACTATACAGTTTGTAGATACCTACTGCAGGCGCGTAGGGAGGGGGTATATAGGTGTTGTAACACCAACCCCCCTCTCGGTCGTGTTATGATTTCACATTCCTACAATCTATATTATTGATATTTAATTGTTATTCAGTAAATAAATAATACGTAGCTGTATAATATGTATTCCTTAGATCATATAAGTTGTCAATTGCAAAATGAAAATATGGATTTGCCACAATCGATGGAAGTAGCTGATAGGGATCTAAAAGCAAAAGAGTCACTTCGTACAGAAGCCGAACAGAAATTCAAACAATATTACTCGAAAGCTGAGAAAAAATGTGAGTTGTTAGATATTACAATTTTATTACCTAGACTAGCAAATAATCAACGAAATCGCGTTAATATTACAACAGAATCTCCTGAAGTCTACTTTAGGGTATCAATTTTTATACCGTTTTTGGTCAATTTTTGTAAACAACTAAATGACAGATTTTTAAACCACAAGTTGTTACTGAATAATTTAATTTGTTTAATAAATGCACACAACGAAAATGAAACCGATGTTAAAGAGCTTCTAGAAAAATATTCAATAGATATCGAAGCAGATGAATATTCTGCACGGGGTGAATTCACAATTTGGCATCAAAAGATAAAATAGAAAACTCCCAAAAAGGCTATAGAAACTTTGAATGAATGTAATGAAGAAATATTCCCTACTTTTTATCGACTTTTAACAATATTAGTAACTTAACCGGTGACAACGGCAAGTAGCGAAAGATCCATACGTATTAAGAAATACAACAGGTGAAAATCGTTTAAATGGTTTGGCGATTATGAATATTCATTGTGATATAGTATTATCTACAGAGAAAATAATAAATGAACGCGACAAAAACTCGTCGTATGAATATTTAATTAATGTAAACATTACAAATTTGTATGATTGTAAGTTAAAAAAAATATATTCCCCTTTGAAATTCCTGGCTACGCGCCTGACCTACTGTATACATAAATTGGTACTCAGCTAAAGTATGAACTTCCAACGGTTACTGATTATATTTAAAAACACGTCCATAATTATCCAAAGCAACCATATGTAGTAGAATAACGGTACATTTAGAGATTACATTAATAATAAAATTATTTTAGGTGTATTGCACGACAAAGATAGTAACCAAAATATTAGATTAAAATACAAATTTAAATATTTTTAATGTATTCATTGCACAACATGTAATATGGTAAAAATAATACCCACTAAATTATTGTTTTTCAACACCATCATCATGAATTGTCAATAAAAATTAAGCAAAAAGTAATTTATTTTGTTTGTATAATGTGTTTGATTAGGTGAAGATGGTTCTCCTGCTTATGTTTTTAAATCGAACGATCGAGAAGGTCAGTATAGACTATAGAGTTTGTAGTTAACTACTGTATACATAAATTGGTACTCAGCTAAAGCAAGAAAATTTCACGATTACTGAATAAATTAAAAAAACGCTTCCATAGCACTCCGAAACAACCTTACTTAGGCCTATCGATCCTACATCCTTATATAATTTGATTATAGAAATAATAGTTGCTGTATATACGTTCTACATAAGAAGTACTTAACTAGAGACAGATACTAAATTGTACTAACATCAGTTTGATTTCAGTTTTTAAATATATATTAGTGCGTATAAAAAATATGTGATATTTACACAATTATTATTTATCTTATAACATTTTATAGATTTATTAATTGTATACTACCGCCGCAAAATAATATAGGACTTGGAATATTATTATTTATATATAAAAAATATTTAACTCTTAACGGAATCTTGATTTGAAAAATTGCACGAAACGCCATTTCAGACTCTAAAATTATTATTAAAAAATGGTTGCATTATTGTCTGTTCATTCCAAGCATAACAAAATTGGAATGTGATTTATACTTCTTACTGTACTTTAAAATTATATAACTAACAATTTTTTGTAGTGAAGCAAAGCGCTTGTTGGCATTGCTGTAATTGTTTTCTTGGAAGTGTGCGTTGCTGTTGTTGGCCAATTGTCTTTTGCGCTGAAGCCATGCCAGGTAATAATGACATAATTATTGATAATTAATCAGTTAGTATACTATATCAAACCATTATAATTGTTTTTAGACGATGAGTTAACTAATTGGTGTTCAAAAAATTGTCTTTAATTATTATGAAAACTGTTAAAGATGAGGTAAAGTAACTTAACCACTAAATAAATAAATAAAAAAAAAAAATATATATATATATAATATATATATATCATTTTTTTTAAGTACAATATAATTATCATTGATTTTCGTTAACTTTTACAAAAGTATATTTATATATTTTACTAAATTATAATAAACTTTTATTATCTGGATTATTTAAGATGACTTGTTTTTCATTATTTATACTTATAATTATAATTTTACACATTATAGTGTATACACATAATAATAAAAGACTTGTTGTAAAAAAGATATCCGAATTTTTGATATTAAATGGTTTTTTTTGTGTCAATAAGATATCACTTATCACCTAAATGTTGTTAGATATCATTGAATTCGAACTTAAAATTCTTGACCTGTCTCTTTCATTTGTCCCCTCTTGTTGTCACTCACATTAACTAAGTAACATGCAGAGCGCTCAAAATCTTAGACTTCATTAAAATCCCTTTATTGTGCCCTCGTACGACCAATTTTCGAGTATGGTTCATTTGCGTGGAACCTCCAAAGCGCAAATAGTAGGTCACAGATCGACCATGTCCCACGTAAGTTCTTAATCTTTCCAGCTTATGCATTGAAGATACCGTGTCCATCGCATAATTACCACCCTGTTGGGTGGTAGTTATGCGACTTTAGATTTATGTCAAATTTTAGTAATTATTTTAGAGTTATGAAGTATAAACATTATTTAATAAATGTAATTTATTTTTAAAAATTACATAACGTCATTACACAAATGTCGACTCGACCCGACCAATATTCACTAGCTTAAGTATTGACTTGTTAAGGTACTCCCTACGTCTAACAATTTGGTTTTCTTTGATGGGAAAAAATCTGTAGTCATGTTTATTCAATTTCACAGTATGTAATAAGGTATATATTAGACCTATTTTTAGTCGACAATTTTGACCATTAATCCCAAAAACACGCTTAATAAAACTAAATTATTAACCCTAATTTAGGGAAGAAGTGGTATGACATTTTTGTCTGAAAATAAATGTTAAAAGTGGCATGCCTAATAAATGTTTGATAAAAACATCCACTCGATTCAACAATTTTTACGAAATTATAGCAAATAAAATTTAAAGAGAAAAAAAACATTTTTAAGAAGGGTGGTCTCTATATTTAAGAGTGAAAATGGGATGATTTAAAATTGTGTTTTAAATATAAATTCAGTGATGTATAAAATATATAATTCGATTTATAATGATGTTTTTTTTTTTAAATACTTAGGCGATATTATTTTCGATAGCCTTTTTTAGATTTTAGACAGTTGTGTGGACGTCACCCCAGCAGCCCCTTTTTGAAAATCGTTTTCCAAAGGTTTGGTGGGGTGTACACATTTTTGAAATGTGATTAATAAATTGTTCAATTAAAATAACAACTACTGAAATAGTTTTCCAAAACAATTTACGATGTGAGGGTGCAAGGATGACGACGCACTTAATATAATTTAATTAAACATTAGGACTGGAGGAAATATTATGGAGTATAGTACCTAACTTCTTATATACTCAACGCACCCCAAATCCTGTTTAAAGTTCAAACTTTATGACAACAATTTAAAAGGATGTATTAAAAACTGGTTATCGACTTGTCGCAATTGTAAAAATTATTTTTATAATAACGATGTATATTAATAAATGTACATTTTCAAGTTTCAAAAGCTGATAACGCTATGGAAAATAATACAAAATATTAAATTTTGTATTTGTATAATATTCTACTATAACCTAAATAAAATTGTTTTCAACACGAAAAACTATAACATGGGTCATTGTTATTCGAATTTGTTTATTGCTAACGATATGTCTGTGGAGCCCACATTTTTACTATTTTGTATCATATCTTTATTTTCGGAAATTACGAAGAACAAATAATAAAGTTGTTGGCATCATACTTGCCAAATAGAGCATATTATTATGTTCATTACAATTTTCCTCTGTACAGTTATATGTTCACTATCGTACAACTATACACAGTGTGTTACAAAATTACAAACGATAATTGTTACAATATGCAAAAAATGGCCATTTTTCTTATAGCTGTTATTATCATGGAAACATTAATGGGTAATTTGTTATTGTATTTTTACACATTTTGATTCTCAGGTTAAAAATCTTACTATAATTATAACATTCACTTCTCTAACATAATATCCTATTATATTGATTCAAGTTAATTACTTAACGGGATTGCATGCGGTTGGTTTTTAAGGAGTTTTGTATAGGCAATATTTATGAAAAAAGTGGTTTTAGTAAATTTCGATCATGTCAATTAATTTACCGGTTAATTTGAATAGGCTTCATGGTATTATTGTAACTTAAATTATTTTGTCTGTGAGTAAAAACCATTTTAGTGAATATAACATACAATATCCGATAAGTAATCTAAAAACAGATTTGAATTTGTCATGAAGTTTACTTATAATCGGTCAGGGTATTTTTTTGATATCTTACACCTACTATGTATAAAATACGTTTAAACATTATATACAATTTTAAATTTTAAAATCAAATTTGAAAAGGGTTAAAATATAAAATTGAAAAAAGTACCCTGACCGATCATAAGTAAACTTCATGGCAAATTCAAAACTGTTTTTAGGTTGTTTATCGGATTACTGGTTTGGTCTGTGCAATGGAATAAAAATAATGTGTTTTGACTGAAAAAACCGACCGCATGCAATCCCCTTAAATACATTACTCATAATTTTTCTCACAAACTTTTGTAACCGAATATTAATTTGTATTGCTACCTACTTTTGGTTATTTATGTTTAGTCACACAATGTCGGCCAATTGATCCTGATACAACTAAAGGCACGTTATATATTTTAATTTGTTTTTTATATAAATTATTTTAAAAATTGTACTAAATATTTTACAATCACATACAATATTACTGATTTAGTGTGTACAAATGTACTTAGCAAAAAGTAATTTTATTTTAAAATGTGTTGGATTAGGTGAAGATGGATTACAGAAGTCGAAAGACCCAACAGGTAGGTATAGACTACAAAATTCATACAAGTAGTTATCTACTGTATACAGAAATTGGTACTCAGCTAAAGCAAGAAGTTTTCACGGTTACAAAACCCCCCCCAAAAAAAAACGGTCAACGATATTCGTCGTTAACATATTATAATTGACGGCCGACGCAATGACGTCATAGGTACATTCGTAATTCTCCCGTAACTCCATAAATAGTTTATTTTTCAAATTCAGTTTTCGCAATATTTTTTGTAAAATATCAAAATCAATAATTATTATTATTTTTTTGGTGATGCATGCCTTTAAATTTAAAAACACGTTCATAATTCACCGAAGCAACCATACTTAGGCCTATTGTAGTATAATAACGGTACATTTAGAGATAACATTCATAATAAAATTGTTTTAGGTGTATTGCACGACAAAGAAGGTAATCAAAATATTAAAACACAAATTAAAATATTTTAAAAGTATAAGCTGCACCATTTGTAATGTGAAAAAAATAATACCCACTAAATTATCGTTTTTCAACACCATAATCATGAATTGTCTCTTAAAATTAAGCAAAAAGTAATTTTTTTGTTTGTTTAATGTGTTTGATTAGGTGAAGATGGTTCTCTTGCTTATGTTTTTAAATCGGAAAACCCAAAAGGTCAGTATTGACTATAAAGTTTATAGTTACCTACTGTATACATAAATTGGCACTAATGCATTGTTAGTGATTTATTGTATATTAATGATTTATTATCATGAAGTAATATAGGACTTGAAGTAAAATAACCGTACTATAGAGATTACATTTATTTTAAAAATTATTTTAGACGTATTACACGACAAAAAAGATAATCAAAATATTTGAGTGAAATAAGGATTTATTATTTTTAATGTTTAAGTTGTACCATGTGAAATAAGAAAAAAATAATACCTACTGATTTTTGTTTTTAACATGATGATGATGAATAAATGTCACCTTAAGCAAAAAGTAATTTTATTTGTATAATGTGTTGCATTAGGTGGAGAATGTTCATATTCATTCAATAGTGATGATAACGAATTGGAACATCAAAGAGGTCAGTATAGACCATAGAGTTTGTAGTTAACTACTGTACACATAAATTGGTACTCAGCTAAAGCAAAAAGTTTTCACGATTACTGATTAAATTAAAAAAAACACTTCCATAACACTCCGAAACAACCTTACTTAGGCCTATCGATCCTAAATCCTTATATAATTTGATTATAGAAATAATAGTTGCTGTATATACGTCCTACATAAGGAGTACTTAACTAGAGGCAGATACTAAATTGTATTAACATCAGTTTGATTTCAGTTTTTAAATATATATTTACACAACTATTATTTATCTATATACCAATAAGCAAACAGTAATAATTTTTGTTGTATTATTTTTTGGATTAGATAGAAGTAATATGGAGTACACAGGTCAGTCTGAGTTATTTCACGTTGGGTTTTAATATATATATGTATACATATTATTTTATATAGATGTTATATAACATATATATAAATTAAGTCTTCTTAGATTTTATATAAAAATATATATATATTTTTTTTAATTATCTTATACAATTTTATAGATTTATTAATTGTATACTACTGCCGCGAAATAATATATGACTTGAAATATTATTATTTATTTATGAAAAATATTTAACTCTTAATGGAATCTGGATTTAAAAAAATGATACGAAACACTATTTCAGACTCTAAAATTGTTATTGAAAAGTGGTTGCATTATTGTGTGGTCATTCCAAACATAACAAAATTGGAATGTGATTTATACTTTTTACTGTACTTTAAAATTATATAATTATCAATGTTCTTGTAGTGAAGCATAGCGCTTTTTGGCATTGCTGTAATTGTTTTCTTAGAAGTGTGCGTTGCTGTTGTTGCCCAATTGTCTTTTGCGCTGAAATCCTCCCAGGTAATAATGACATAATTATTGGCAACTAATAAGTTAGTATACTTCTTCAAACCATTATAATTGTTTTTAGACGATGCATTGTCTCGTTGGTGTTCAAAGAATTTTCATTAATTATTATGAAAATTGTTAAAGATAAGGTAAAGTAACTTAACAACTAAATAAATAAATAAATATATACGATTTTTTTTAATTACAGAATAAATGCAAAGGTGAAAGAATATCTATATTTTTTAAGTATAATATAATTATCATTGATTTTCGTTAACTTTTACAAAAGCATATTTATATATTTTACTAAATTATAATAAACTTTTATTATCTGGATTATTTAAGATGACTTGTTTTTCATTATTTATACTTGTAATTATAATTTTACACATTATTATGTATACACATAATAATAAATTACTTGTTGTTAAAGATATCCGAATGTTTAATATTAAGTGTGTTTGCGTCAATAAGGTATGACTTGGTATGAAAGTTAACATAAACATTTTTACGAATAGGTATTTCATAAACACGTTAAACCATTTAACTATTCACTAAAGATAAGTTGATTGGTTGATTGAATTAATTTTATTAGATTTCCGTATAAGTTTTCAATTTAACTATTCACTTTTATAATTACTAATAATTAAGTCATTAGGTAAAGGATTGAACGATTTTCATCATCGTTGTTTATGATGAGGTTAACTAACCTAAACACTAAATAAATGTATAAATAAACAAATCAGGGTGTCCTACGAAGATTCGACAGTTGAAATAACTTTTGTTTTAGTGTATATTATCAATTTATTTTTTAAATTAAATTCATTTATTGTGTCCTCGTACGACCAATTCTCGAGTATGGCTTATTTGTGTGGGACCCCCGAGGCGCAGATGATAGTTCATAGATCCACCATGTCCAACGTAAGTTCTTAATATTTCCAGCTTATGCAATGAAGATACCCTGTCAATCGCATAATTACGACACTGACCTTCTAATACTCAATCCCACATCCTTTGTTGGTCTTCGGCAATCCCAAAGCCTATTCTTTTACTGTAACTTAACTTCTAAATCCATCGACACCTCAACTCTACTTTCGATTATTAACTTTAAAATTCCTTCTCGCTGTCCACGGTTCAAAATTAAATTCCTTATATCACTCTTTACTACCAACTATCTACAAAAAGAACCCATTGACCGTAAAATGGATTTAGCCAATGAGGATCCTCTGTTCTCGTGAAGGGTGACGCACCTGAAATAATATATTGCTGAGCAATGATTAAAATTGAATTCCAGTTTAGGATTGGAGGAAGTTTTATGGAGTATAGTATTATTCTCACATACTCAACCGCAACCCAAATTCTGTCTTAAATTTTAAACTTTATTATAACGTTAAAAAGGAAATATTAAAAACTGCTTATCGACTCTTCAAAATGTGCAGTAAATTATAATGATATTCAAAATGTATTTCAATAAATGTACGTTTCCAAGTTTCAAAAGTCGAAATTCTTAAATTTTTTAGTTATATAATATTTTACAAGAACCTTAATAAAATTGTTTTTAACAAGAAAAACTAAAAGATGGATCATTGTTCTCCGAAATTGTTTACTGCTAACGACTTATTTGTTTAGTCCACATGTCTTACTGTGATGAATCATATTTTTATTTCAGAAACGTACCGTGTACAAATTATATTGTTTTCGCCATCATAGGTACTTGCCAAATAGACCATATTATTATGTTCATAACAATTTTCCTCTGTACAGTTATATGTTCCGTACAACTATACACAGTGTTTTTCAAAGTTAGAAACGATAATTATTTAATAGTTTTTAATTATTTCAATATGCAAAAAATTGCTTACATTCTTACAGCTGTCATTATTTTGGAAACAATATTGGGTAAATTGTGATTCCATTTTTACACTAATTTATTGTCAGGTTGATTATACGAAATTAAAATATTACTATAATTATGACTTAAACTTTTCTAATTTAATATCATATTATATTGATTCAAGTTGACATGATGACATGAATGCATTATACATAATTGCATCACAAACTTTTATGTCCGATTATTAATTTATATTGCTACCTTATTTTTTTTTTTATATTTAGTCACCCAAGGTCGGCCATATCCAAGTAAGTAACTACTAAAAATAAGGCATTCTTCTTTTACTTTGTTTTTTATCTCATAAAATATTACTGATTTAGTGTATACTATTGAATGGCGTTATGCAGAAAACAACTATCCCACAATGTACTTTTTGGATATCATTTTAAAACAATGATAGATAGCGCTGCACTTCAATGTTGGTTTGGTTGTATTTTGTAAAATACGTAATCTAAAATTATCTATCTCGTTATACTAAACTCTCGTTTTTCTTAACTTTGATGGATAATTGCTTTTTGCATAACGCCATTCAACTATATCCAAAAAGTACATTTGTGCCTCGTGGGATGGTTTCTTTCTGCAAAACGCCATTCTATTATCATAAAGTAATATAGGACTTGAAGTAGAATAACGGTACATTTACTGATTGATTAAATTTATTATAAAATTGTTTTAGATTGTTTAGTTATTACACGGCCAAAGAGCTAATAAAAATATTAAATTCAAATAAAGATTTAATTATTTTAAATGTTTAAGTTGCAACATATAAAATGTGGAAAAAATAATACCTACTTAATTATAATTTACCTCAATAAATTTTCACTTAAAATTATGGAAAAGTAATTTTTTTGTATTATGTGTTGGATTAGATGGAGATGATTCTAAAAAAACGGAAGACCCAAAAGGTCAGTATAGAATATACAGTTTGTAGTTACCCACAGTATAAATAAATTGGTGCTTGGCTAAAGCATAAACTTCCAACGGTTACTGTCACGGCCATATTATCCAAAGCACCATACTTAGGCCTATTGTAGAAGAATAACAGTACATTTAGAGATTACATTCATAATAAAATTGTTTTAGGTGTATTTAAAAGCAAAAAAGGTAATCAGATTGAAATGTGGAAAAAATTATATCCACTAAATTATAATTTTTTTACATCATTATCATGAATTTTCACTTAAAATTAAGCAAAAAGTAATTTTTTTGTTTGTATAATGTGTTTGATTAGGTGAAGATGGTTCTTCTGCTTATGTTTTTAAATCGGAAGACCCAAAAGGTCAGTATTGACTATAGAGTTTATAGTTACCTACTGTATACATAAATTGGTACTAATGCATTGTTACTGATTTATTGTATACTAATGATTTATTATCATGAAGTAATATAGGACTTGAAGTAAAATAACCGTACATTTAGAGATTACATTTATTTTAAAAATTATTTTAGACGTATTACACGACAAAAAAGATAATCAAAATATTTGAGTGAAATAAGGATTTATTATTTTTAATGTTTAAGTTGTACCATGTGAAATAAGAAAAAAATAATACCTACTATTTTTGTTTTTAACATGATGATGATGAATAAATGTCACCTTAAGCAAAAAGTAATTTTATTTGTATAATGTGTTGCATTAGGTGGAGAATGTTCATGTTCATTCAATAGTGATGATAACGAATTGGAACATCAAAGAGGTCAGTATAGACCATAGAGTTTGTAGTTAACTACTGATGATGATGATAAATAAATGTCACCTTAAGCAAAAAGTAATTTTATTTGTATAATTAGTTAAATTAGGCGGAAAATGTTCTAATGAAAAAGAATTGAAACGGAAAGGTCAGTATAGACTATAGACTTTGTAATAAAAAAAAATAATATTTAAAACCCTTAACGATAAAAATAATACACTCTATGCGTATTTGTATTTCAAAGAGTATGGTTAAAGTTTTAAAATAATAATATACTTTTATAATATTTGACAACTCTTCTGTCGAATCGTGATTTAAAAATGACACGGAACCCTATTTCAGAGTCTAAAATTATTATTGAAAGTAGTTGCATTATTGTGTGGTCATTCCAAACATAGCACTATTGAAGTTTGATTTATACTTTTACTGTACTTTAAAATTATATAACTAACAATGGTTTTGTAGTGAAAAGATGCGTTTTTCGGCATTGCTGTAATTGTTTTCTTGGATGTGTGCGTTGCTGTTGTTGCCCAATTTGCACTTGCGCTGAAGCCATGCCAGGTAATAATAACATAATTATTGATAGTTACTAAGTTAGTAAGCTTCATTTAACTATCAAACTGTTTTTTTGTTCAAGACAAGTGGTAAAGATGAGGTAAAGTAACCTAACCGCTAAAAAAAATAAATATAAATTTATATATATAACTATTTTCTTTAATTACAGAATAAATCCAAAGGTGTAAGAATATCTATTATTTTTAAGTACAGTATAATTATCATTGATTTTTGTTAACTTTTACAAAGCATATTTATATATTTTACTAAATTATAATAAACTTTTATTATCTGGATTATTTAAGATGACTTGTTTTTCATTATTTATACTTTTAATTATAATTTTACACATTACAGTGTATACACATAATAATAATTTACATGTAATTAAAGATATATTAAATGTTTCATTTAAGGGTGTGTTTGTGACAATAAGATATCACTCAGTATGAAAATTAACATCAATATTCTTTACGAATAGTTATTTCGTAAACACGTAAACCTTTTAACTTTTTAGTAGATAAATTGAGTGGTTGGTTGAAACTTTGAACTTGAACTTTTACAAAACTATAATTATATATTTCAGCAAATTATAATAAACTTTTACTATTCGACATTTAAAACAAACAAATGTTTTTCATTAGTGTACCTATTTGAGTATACAATATGAATTAACAGATAAATATTTTGATATATTATGGTGTGTTTTGTGACCATAAGGTGGTCACATTAAGTTTTTAAAAACTATGTTTAAAATATTATAAACTATACAACTTTGATTGATGTCAGTTTTTAGTAATTATTTTAGAGTTATGCAGTATAAAAATTAAATATTGGAATTCAATATATTTTTAATATACATGCGTAATTTATACATGAGTGATTCTATTGATAACGTGTAAAAAAATCTGCAGTCATATGTTTATTCAATTTACAGTATATAATATGGTCTGATAATAAATTTAAAAGAGACATGCCTAATAAATGTTTGATAAAAATGGCACTAGATAATACCATTTTCACGAATACTAGATTCTAGACAGTTGTGTGGACGTCACAGCAGCCCTTTTTGAAAATCGTTTTCAAAGG